ATGGGAATGCCAACAAACATCTTTTTGATCCATTTTACAGCCACCTTTTTCCTTTTAAACTCGAGGCTTTGGGCGAAGGTGATAAATTAGAGGTTCCTCTTGCTTTATGATCTGAATACTTGTGCTGAACAGACTTGGGCTTGTGCAGTCTAATACTGTTCTATGGAAGTCATAACACAGGACTCATCCTGGTCAGTAGCAGTGAAAAGAATGTCATTCCAGTTGAATTCCATATTCAACTACCACTTTCTACTCCACGTGAAAGAGAGTAAAACTTGAGCTCCTTTCAGGTGGAGAAACTAAGCAGTAGCTTTTCTTGCCCATCCATTTCTTCTAACATGTTCATGTTTCCTGTAGGTATCTCCCATGTGTCTGAGCTATTGGTGACCTTCAGATGTAGAGGCAGGTCCACATTGACTCAGACATGACCTCCAAAAGTCAGACAGACAAACTGTTAGCATATTCCAGGAGAATGGGCACCTCTTGAGGCAGATCTGTGGAGTCTGCCTGGACAGTTGCCCAGTTGTGTTCTGGTTAACAGTTGACATGACCTTGTCGTTTATGTGACGATCCCTTGTGTACCCACTTGCTTTACAAGGCCTGTGCACCAGGCTAAGGAAAATGGTTTGCCATTAAACTGGAGTGCGGGACTGAAACAGCTTCACTTGACTTCAGGTTAGCTGAGGTGAAACAAAACCTGTTTGCCAAGACTTATTTGTAGGTAGTACAACATCCTGGTCTTGCTGGAACCACGTGAGAAAGCCAGGAGAGCCCAGGCCTTCTTATGATAGTTTTTCCCTGGATTTTCATTAGAACATTCTTGGGGGTTTTTTGTTTTGTGGCTTTTTTTTTTCTTCTTCCTTCCTTTCTTCTCATGCTGTAGGCATGAAGACTCACCCATTGCCAGCACTGCAGCAGGAGAACAGAAATAGGCTTTGACTCCAACGTCTGCCTAAGGTCACTGTCCCTGGAGTCCTCCATCCTCCCATTCTTAGAAAGAAATACTGATCTAATTGCCAGCTCAGAGTGGGGCTGGGTTGCCAAGCAGCAGAAGGCAGGGGCAGGAGAGGGATGTTGCCCCAGAGAACACTGGACAAGGGGAAATGCTGACTTCTGCAGCAGGGTGGGCTGCATTACATGGTGCTTCTTTACAGGCAAAGCATTGTACATCAGCTTGCAGAAGCACTGATTGGCATTCTGACACTGAAAGGAAAATGAGCTGGCTGAACAGGCACTGTTTAAATGCAGAACTCCTGTCCATCTTTTTACTTTCTAAGGTGAAAGTTGTGCTGTGACCAAAATATGTACTTTTCTTCATCAGTGGTCTGTTTATGCTGCTCCTGGAGCTGCTTTCTGGAGAGCTGCAGCCTCTCTTGAGTTTTCAGGAAGCATGTTTATGCTGCAGAGGGGTTCTCAGAAATGCAGCTGGCCCTGAGCCCTCCAGCAGTTGGAACAGGAGTTCTGGATGAACCCGAGCTCATGTTTGGAGCCTTTCTTGAACTCGTGCAGCAGAGGTTTCAAAAGCAGTTGGGATCTAGCAGGTGATCCAGCTGCAGAGCACAGATAATTCAGTTGGTGGAATTATCCCATGTAAAGGGGATAGAAATGTTTGGGTGATGAGTTTAATTTCAAATCATCATTGCACCCTCCCTGCCCCTCTCATCACTTCTTGTTTCAGCCTGTTCTGTTAAGGATTATGTTGTCTGCTTATCCAGCTCCTAAAAGGCAGGGTCCTTTATTCTCATCAACGCTGGATCTCTGAATGTTGCTGTTCCTGGGTTTGTTTTTCAGTTTGTTTGTTTTTAATTCTTTTTTTCTTCTTCTTCTTCTTTTTTTTTTCTTTTTTTGTTTCCTGCTTGCTGGTTTCTTGGCAACAAATAGTGGCAAAACTGGAGAGTAGTTAGGAAAGATCATGTGATTTATGAGAAAGGGCTAGGCTGTGAAGCTGGCTGCAGCCTGTGTGGTGGGAGCTGGTTCAGGCAGAAGCTATCAAATGTGAAGACATTCAGATTTAAGAAAGCAAACACTCTGAAGTTGGGTGTGCACCAGCATCCCACCATTATTTTATCCCCAGGGCCTTGAGAACAAAATATCCCTTAGAAAGAGTTTTCACGTGGCTGCAGGGGTTACATGTTCTCATTAGCTTGGCTACAGTTCACAGGACATTGAGAAAACAATGTATTTCTTGAGGTTAGGGGCAAGAGTGAAAGGCTCCAAGTCAGGGTCCAGCAACTAGCCTGCCAAAAGAATCATCACTCACTGAATTTGGAAGAGAGCTTGAAGTTTAACTAGTGGTTGGGTTTGTCTCTTTATTGACCTGTTGCATCCTGCAATACTTCCAAATCATCCAAATACTTCTGCTGACCAGTCTGATGCTTTGGTGAAAAAAAGGGTTGTAATTTGAAGTAACACAGAATAGAAGATGGTGAATTAGACCAGAAGGAGTTCAGAAGTTTTAAGCAGCAGGTGATTGCACTATTTTTAAGCTACAATCATTGTTTACTTTTCTCTGATAATCATTTGCATGCACTGTGGAGTGCACAGTGCCAACAAAAGTCATTCAGTCTTTAAGCTTATTTAAAATTTAATTTGACATTCTCAGGTCACACTGACCTACAAAATCAAGGAAGGAAGTGATCTTTTTATACAGTTGATTGTGCTTGCACAAAATAGAGGTCTGTCAGGCAGGAGTGATTCTTCTAGTTGTGGAAAGAGAAGCCTTCACTTAAGTTTTGTGAGGTGTCTTGGCAGCTTACAGTTCAAGAAGAGTGAAAATGTTACAGTATTGCCTTTTTTCATGTTATGGTTTTCAGCTATTAAGGTGGATGTTTGTTTCCTTCTGGGTTAGATTTCAAATTACTGATAGACTCTCAGATTCAGTTAGGTGTAAAATGTCCTAACACAAAAAAAGAATCTCCATGCAAGACTGTAAGGTTAACATCTTGCTAATGTTCTTACTGTGAGACTGGTAAAAAGCAAAACATTAAATTGATGAGTATGTAGCCTGGGATGTATCCTGAAAACATACCTCTTTTTGTGATAACAAAAACATATCTAGAAAACTGTGATTCTGCAGCAATATAGTGTTGCTTTATCAGTTGACAGTTTCCATCAGTGGAGCTTGTCCTGTTTAATCACTTTTGTCACATATTGAAAAATCTCCCCATTGTTACTCCTTGTTAGTGATCTGAACTAAAGTCCTAAATTAAAAAATAAGTATTTTCTTTACAATCTTGGTGAGCACAACACTTGTTTACATGCTTCATGGATTGATATCTTTGCATTGTTTATGTGGAAGTGGTTTTATTTTTAGGAGTTGGAAAGTTTTCTGGGGAAAGGAGAAGTCTGTTGTCTGTTTTATTGTGTTCTTAGCCTGTTTTGAGATCATCTTCTAAATAAGATGGGCACTCCTGAGCTCATTAACCAGTTTGTCTCAGTTTAAACACATTACTGTTAGGTCCAACATGAGGACTCATTTACTAAATCTGGTCTGTTGCAGTTTAATATTGTTGTTCCCTGCCTTATCTGCAGTGGATGTAGAGGACAGTTTGTAACTTTCTGCTGGTCTGTAAGACCATTCTTGGTCTTTTAAGACACCCTCAGTCTCCTGGCCCTTAGGCTTAATAAACCCTCTCACATACATAGCACATTTTAAAAATGTCTCTTCATCCTTGTTGCTCTGTTCTCCTCCTGGGGAGGGACTTTGTACAAGGGCTTGTGGTGAGAGGACAGGGGGTAATGGATCAAGACTGGAAGAGGAAATATTTAGGTTGGACATGAGGAGCAAATTATTTAGTGGGAGGGTGGTGAGAGCCTGGCCCAGGTTGCCCAGAGAAGCTGTGGCTGCCCCATCCCTGGAAATGCTGAAGGGCAGGTTGGATGGGGCTTGGAGCAACCTGGGCTGGTGGGAGGTGTCCCTGCCCATGCAGGGGGGCTGGAACTGGATGAGCTTTAAGATCCCTTCCAATTCAAACCAGTTTGTAATTCTCTGGTTCTGTTCTGGGTGCAGTTGATGTGTGTGATCCTCAAGGTGCACTGCTCAAAATGACAAAACTCTGCCAGTAGTGCCATACAAATTATGAATTAATGCTGTGGCTTTATAATTCAAGTAGAAAAGTAACAATAATCAACTGTTTTATCAAGTAGTAGGCAGATAAAATTATTTCTTATTTCAGCCTAAATTTTAAGTGACTTTAAATTAAGAAGGAGCAACTACTTTCACAGGTAGATGGCTCTTACAGCTTACATGTGTGTTGTCTGTTTTATTGTGTTCTTAGAAGATGATCTCAAAACAGGCTAGATAAGATGGGCACTCCTGAGCTCATTAACCAGCTGTTGTCTGTTTTATTGTGTTCTTAGCCTGTTTTGAGATCATCTTCTAAATAAGATGGGCACTCCTGAGCTCATTAACCAGTTTGTCTCAGTTTAAACACATTACTGTTAGGTCCAACATGAGGACTCATTTACTAAATCTGGTCTGTTGCAGTTTAATATTGTTGTTCCCTGCCTTATCTGCAGTGGATGTAGAGGACAGTTTGTAACTTTCTGCTGGTCTGTAAGACCATTCTTGGTCTTTTAAGACACCCTCAGTCTCCTGGCCCTTAGGCTTAATAAACCCTCTCACATACATAGCACATTTTAAAAATGTCTCTTCATCCTTGTTGCTCTGTTCTCCTCCTGGGGAGGGACTTTGTACAAGGGCTTGTGGTGAGAGGACAGGGGGTAATGGATCAAGACTGGAAGAGGAAATATTTAGGTTGGACATGAGGAGCAAATTATTTAGTGGGAGGGTGGTGAGAGCCTGGCCCAGGTTGCCCAGAGAAGCTGTGGCTGCCCCATCCCTGGAAATGCTGAAGGGCAGGTTGGATGGGGCTTGGAGCAACCTGGGCTGGTGGGAGGTGTCCCTGCCCATGCAGGGGGGCTGGAACTGGATGAGCTTTAAGATCCCTTCCAATTCAAACCAGTTTGTAATTCTCTGGTTCTGTTCTGGGTGCAGTTGATGTGTGTGATCCTCAAGGTGCACTGCTCAAAATGACAAAACTCTGCCAGTAGTGCCATACAAATTATGAATTAATGCTGTGGCTTTATAATTCAAGTAGAAAAGTAACAATAATCAACTGTTTTATCAAGTAGTAGGCAGATAAAATTATTTCTTATTTCAGCCTAAATTTTAAGTGACTTTAAATTAAGAAGGAGCAACTACTTTCACAGGTAGATGGCTCTTACAGCTTACATGTGGTTGGTTAAAAGTGAGTTGCCTGTTTCAGATGTGCAACGTACCAAAATATGGATGTATAAATTGGGGGGAGCTTATTTTCACAATCATTCTGCTTTCAGAAAGTTGATGTCCCCATGGTTTTGTTTGTTTCCAGCTTCAAGATTTGGATTCCCAGAAGCAACAGACATACACCATTTTGGATCTCATGAGAACCCGAAACATCCTCACCATCACCATTATGTCAGTGCTGCTTTGGTAAGCAGGTGGTGTGCAGGGGCAGCTGAGCACAAAAGCAGCAGAAGAGTTAAAAGCTGCTCTTTGAACACTGAAGTATTCTGAAGAGATATAACAAAACCAGCCCAAAACCCAGCGACCTGCTGGCTGAAGCAACAAGGTGCTGGTTATTATGTAGGTTCTGCCTTTTCAGTAACAGTCCAGAGCCACATCTGGATGGATATTCCTTTGTGAGGCAGCCAGGCATATCCTGAGCTGAGCAAGGACCAGACCAGCTGGCAGTGATGCGTGGGAATCCTGCCTGGTGTTGGGCCTTGGGGAACCCTCATCTGACTGTAATAAAGACTTTTAAGAGGAGTGAGTCATGCCCTGTCTCACAGTCAGAGAATTATTGCCCAGGGTCTGAGCACAGCAGTGCCTGACTTGTGGGGAGAATCTTCCCCCTCCTTTTTTTATGGTCTCTTAAAGTGATAAAGCTACCTTTGAAGTTCTAGCCTGAGATTTCCCTGGACTTTCCTGATCACTGCTCCATTTACCTGCCATCTCCATCTGGTTTACAGTAGCTGAAGCCACACTTTGTACTCAATTTGATTAAACACTTGTCATTTTCTTTTACTGGAAATCTCAACGAAGCTGTAATGACTCAGGAGAAGGAAAACAGAGTAACTTCTAGCCTGCCAGAGCCTGTATAAGTAGGGTTTAATTAGTGCTTGTACCTTCACTTTCCTAACCAAGAAAGTCCCTCAGGTGCTACAGAGTTAACTAAATCTGTTTGCTGCTGTGGTGAACAATGTTCCTCTGCTTAAGTGAGGCACAGCCTTGGGAGTTCAGTCCACTGACCTGCCAGTATACACCAGCTAATGTGGCTTTTTGGGTCAAAGGATGGCTCAGCTAATATTTAAGCCAGATTCCATTGCCCAACACTAGCACTACAAACACACTGAGAAAGGAACTTGATCAGAAAACAGCTCAAAAGAGGAAAAGTAGTGCAGGTTCTTCACAGAACTGTCAGTACGGCTGCCATATATACTGTTGTCTTACCTCCAGCTGCTGACTCTCACCTTGAACTGGAAATGAGCTAGAGAATTGAGACTGTCCTGCTTCCAACCTGCATGGAGTCCAGCAGCAGTGAGTTCCTAGGCATGGTTGATGGTGTGTGTTAGGTTGTAGAGATCAAATGCAAAACCTATTTGGACAGTGTGACATGGCCAGATGTGACCAATCCCATTGCCACACAATAATTTAAGTTTTAGATAGGCAGGAAGAGCCAAATGTGTGCAACTGACCTTACACCATCTTGCCTCCTCTTCTGTTGATTTAGACAATTTTCCCACTATTTTTACCTTCCATGTCAGTTGCCTGACCACCTTTTAATTAATTTCCCAAAATATAAAGCATCCTGTGCTGACTCACAGCAGTATTTTCCAACCCGTAGTATCCTAGTGGAATCTGCTGTGTTATGAGTTGAAAGAACTAATCAAAGCAGGTCTGTGCAAGAGGGTGGCTGCAGACAGCAGTGTATGCCCCTTACATTGCACTGAGTCACAGGTCTCTGAACTAATCCCTTTGCTGGGTTTGCATTAGGCAGGAGGAAGTTTGGCCTCTCATCACCCTGGGCTGTGTAAATGGCCCTAAAGTTTTGCTGGGGATATATAACTGTCAGGGTTTGCCCGTGGGGTAAGCAAAGGTAAACTGCTCCTGACAGTGAGTCCCAGCAAGCACTTTCTTTGCATACAAAAATAACTCAGAGCCCAGGGCTGGGCATGTTGCTCAGCATGTGGAGAACACAGAACCACTTTGGAGAGGAATAGCTTCAGCTGGCAGGGCACACAGAGCAACAGGGGTTACCCTCAGCTCCACAACTCCAAAGCTGCCCAGGTACACTGGGTAAATTATTTTAAGCAAATGGCCCTTGAAGGTTCTTCTAATGGGAAGTCAGGGGAAGGAAGAGCCAGTCATTGGTCTGTGATCCACTTCATGCTGCACAGTGATTCTGCTCCAGTTGTGTCATGACACAGATGCTGAAGGAGGTGAGGTGCTGAGTGCTCTGTGCCTCACCTGGGCACATCCTGCCCCAGTGCCTGTTATTCCCTCATTTGCCACGTGTTACTTGTTGGTAGAACATCACCCTCTCTTCCCAGCATCTCCCGAGACAGGGCAGGATTTTTTTCCAAGGCCAGTGGTGTGTTTTTCTGGATCACGTGGAGGTCAGCTCTCATCTGGCTCAGTTGAGATGGCAATATTCCAGCCACCCTGCTCTGCCCTGCCACAGGGACCAGCCCAGGCACCCAGCCAGGCAAACGTGACTTGGATTCTGCCCAGCCAGCTTGGGGCATGGCAGAGAAACCCCAGATTGTTTGGGTCTGCTGGGATGCCTTCCTGACTCTATATGCAAAGTTTGGAGGGTAATGACCCAGAAACAATGTTCCATGCAGAGCTCCCTGGTAAATGTAATGAGAAGCTCCTGGAGGCCTCAGCAGCAACAGGAAAATGCAGTAATCCAAGCTGTCAAGCTAAGCCTGTAACCACCAGTGATAGGAGCTGCTTTGAGAGTGATACTGGTGTATCTCCCGCAGGTGGTGTGAAATAGGGGGCATGTGTGACTAGTAGTCAGCCCCTCTCCATCAGCATGACTAGCAGAGACAAATGAGATGTCTCAAAGTAACAAATACCCAGAGCTTCCCTGCAAGGTGTGAGTGAGAGCAGGATGGAGAGTGGCAAAGCCATGCAGTTCAGTACAAGCTCTGCAGCTGCAGGACCAAGCAGCACTGGGGGCTCCTGGCAGGTGCCTCAGCAGGGCTGGCAGCAGCTCTGGGGTTACCTCAGTGTGTTAATGCTCCACAGGACATTTTTATTTTATTTGTTGAATGCAAGATCAGCTTGAAAGATAAAAACCATCAGCACTTTTTAGTTGCTCTCTTGCTGTTCCTGAAGCCAGCACTTAAGTGCTTCAGAGGGGACTGAAGGTGGCAGGTGCTGAACTTCCCTCACGCAGCGATTCCTGTGCTCAGCAGAGGTACCAGCAGCTCGTGGAGAAACTTGATCCTGTTGTTCTGCTTTCAGGATGATAATCTCCGTGGGTTATTTTGGGCTTTCTCTGGACACACCAAACCTGCACGGGGATGTCTACGTGAACTGCTTCCTGTCGGCAGTGACGGAGGTTCCCGCCTACATCATCTCCTGGCTGCTGCTGCGCAACCTGCCGCGACGGTACTCGATGGCTGCCGCCTTGTTCTTGGGAGGCTGTGTCCTTCTCTTCATTCAGCTGGTGCCTTCACGTATGCAACCGTTAGTTGGTCTCTGTATGACAGGGGAGGTGCAGCATCAAGCACCGGGCAGGTCTGGAGGACAAGTGTCCTGAGGAGATTCTGTGTATAGACACTCGTTTCCACTCTTTGCCCCTCTTCCTTGGTTCTCGCTGCACAGGGAACTCACAAAACAGGGCAAGTCAGATAAATTTTAAAGGTGGGTCATTGGCTTTGTGATCTCTTGGGTCAAGTCTAGTTTTGCCTTTAATGGGCATCCCTGGCGAGGTGCCCTGGTAAAGTCCAAGTGTCAAACTAGGACTAGATCAAGCAGATTGTGTCCAACAATGTGTCCGGTTCTGGAGCCACCAACTTAAGAAGGACATGGAGTTCCTGGGCTACAGGAAAGCTGAAGAGGGACTTTGGACAAGGGCTTTAAGTGAGAGGACAAGGGGGAATGGATCAAAACTGGAAGAGGGGAGATATAGGTTAGACATTAGGAAGAAACTCTTTAGTGTGGGTGTGGTGAGACACTGGCCCAGGTTGCCCAGAGAAGCTGTGGCTTCTCTAGAAGTGTTCCCTGGAACACTTCCCTGGCAGTGTTGAAGGGCAGGTTGGATGGGGCTTGGAGCAGCCTGGGCTGCTGGGAGGTGTCCCTGCCCATGCAGGGGGTTGGGACTGGATGAGCTTTAAGGTTCCTTCCCACCCAGACCATTCTATAGTCATTTGGTAAGTGGAGGTTACCAAGAGGCTGCAGAACCTACTTCCCCCACAGCTGTCTCTGACTGTCTCAATGGCTTGTTTAAGCAGTTATCTTCAAGGGAGACATTGGCATTGTGGGAACATTTTTGATAAGCAAAGATGCTTGTACCACGTTAGTGTTGATACCCAAAATAATGTTTGGCAAGTGGAAAGGGGGATAAAATAACATTTATTGGAAGTCAAACCACACGTAACTTTAGGCCAGTTGGTTTGAGGGGGTTATGGACCCTTACTGGTGAAGATGTCCAATATGATGGGGGGGTCTTCTTGCTTAGCACTTGTTTGCATATTGGAGAATAAGCAAAAGAGAATGCACAAGAAGTGTGTTGCTAGTTTGATCCAGGTAATATGTGTCCTTTGAGTCAATTGAACACTGATACCATCTATTTTTATTTTCAACTGTCCCAGTTAAGGTCAGCCCAGTCTCCTATAATTAAATTGCTGACTTGTAGCTGGGAATGTTAATGAAAAACCGAAACAGGAAACAAAAAATAACTTCAAATGTTTAAGTCTGTTCACTTTATTAAAAAGAGATATATGGCATTGTTAGCAACAGCAGAGATCTGGCCCCTGGAATCTGAGAGGCCTCCCTGGTTCTTCCTTTCTTCTGATTTTTTACTTGGCAGGAAACCCCATTCTCAAGGAAATGAAAATGTCAAGTCCTAGTAATTTGAAAAATAAGTAAATAAAAAATGTTGCCTGTGCTTGTAGACATGTACAGAGAAAATGGACACCAGATTCTGGCATTAATGGGACAGGAGAGTTGGAGCTGTGCTGAAATCCTGCTGCCTTTTGGTTTCAGATCTCCGTGCGGTCTCCATCCTGCTGGTGATGTTGGGGAAGTTTGGGATCACATCTGCCTTTTCAATGGTTTATGTTTACACGGCTGAGCTCTACCCAACAGTAGTGAGAAACATGGGAGTTGGAGCCAGTTCCATGGCCTCCAGGCTGGGCAGCATCCTCTCTCCCTACTTCGTTTACCTGGGTGAGTGACCTGGGCGCTGCCCTCCCTGGCAGGGGCAGCAATGCTCTGCACCCACTGCCCTGTCCTGGGGCTTTGCTCACTCTTCTTTGTTTCCTGGAGTCTTGTGAAACTGTGGGTAAAAAATGGGATCTCAGCATCTCTGAGCAATGGTTGTAACATAGAGAGAGTGTTTTATGCCCTGTTGAAGAGCTCTGCAGACTTGTGGTCTTCCTGACTCCACTGGGACACTTTTCTCTCTGTTTCTGGACTGTTTTTTTTCTTGAGGTCCTAAAACCACATTTAAAAGAAAAGATGCTTTGAATGCCAGACTATGAGGGGGTTTGGGTTGTTTTACTGAAAGCATAAGTCTTGCATGATGAAGCCCTGTACCCAAGTGCAGACATCACTGGAGACTGGGAGTGATGCCAGCTCTGTGTGTGTGTGTGTTCTGCAGGTGCTTATGATCGGTTCCTGCCTTACATCCTGATGGGCAGCCTGACTGTGCTCTCAGGAATTCTGACTTTATTTCTGCCAGAAAGCTATGGCATGCCTCTGCCAGACACCATTGAGCAAATGCTGTTGGTGAAAGGGTAAGTGTCACCCTCTGATCTGAACACATCTGCCCTCTGTTGGGAGAAGCGGAGCGGGCTGGCCTAGGTGTTGTCAGAGGGAGAGGCTGGTTTCAGGGCTGCAGTCTGTGCTCTGCTGAAGAGGGCAGAGCTTGGCTGGAACCCTGGTCCCTCTTCCCAAGTGTGTATGTTCCAAATGTACCATTTTACTTTGAGGCCTGGATATATAATATACACGAGGGATGCATTTGTAAAAGTGTTATTACTTCATAGAGTTGCTTTATGAAGGAGTAGGGACACTTTCTGGGTTATAATCTGTGTTTCTAGGGTCTGAAAGTCATAAAAGTACTGGTGAAGGGCTGAACTCTTCCAATTTAATTCAGCTGACCTGAAAAGGCACTGGGAGTCTGGCCTTTTGCCCCAGCTCTGGCACTTAAGCATACTCTGGGGTAAGAAAAGAACCTGTCCACCAGGATATTAAAAAGAAGAGGCTGCCATGTCAAAATGGGGCTCAGGAGAGCAAATATGTTTTTTTCCTCTTTTCTCTCATATATATTTTTAAGCTATTTTCTTTTAAATTTCTTCTCTTCCCCCCTCCCCCAGATTTGAATACAGGCCTACATCTGGTAGCACCAGGGATTCCAAGGAAGAAGAAGAAAACCCAGAGATTTTTAAAAGCACAGCTTTCTGATGGAGCTCCTCTGTGTTTCCTGGTGGACTGAAAGCTCAATGGACTTTTCTTCTAATACTCATTCTAGAAGGGGCTAGTGGCAACTTTGTTTCCTGTAATTTTAACCTTATTTATTAATTTAAGCACTGTATTCTGTACATTCTCTTTTTATATGAACATAAATATTGTATGGCCTTCAGTGAGATTTTTTCAGCCACAGTTGTTTGAATGCAGTAGTGCCAGGGAACAGTATCTGATCAATCCTTTGTGACTTTAAGCACATAGTTCAGCTGAAAGATACTTGAAAACGACTTTGAGGGCTGGCAGGGAACCTTCTCCAGAGCTAATGCACATCAAGAAGTAGAAAATGACAGAAAAAGCTGCTAATTGGTTTTGATTCCTTGACTTCTGTCCCTGGACAGGAAACTTATTTATTGGAGTGAAGGTTATGAGATCATTCTTCTCTCTGGTCTTGCTCAAATGACTTTGCACATGCTGAATTTGCAAAGAAAGATGCAAAGAAAGATTCTGAGAATTAGTTCTGCCTTGATCTGTTTTAAAACTCAAGATAGATTGAGAAGCTTGTATTGCACAAAATACTTATAGCACTGAAATTTTGCTCACCCAATTCACTTGATTCCAGTGTGGTTTTCAACTGTATGGTGAAGTTGTTTACATCTGCCCCTGGATGTGGCCTGTTTCCAGGCTGTATTTATTTAAAATGATGCAAAAGGTTTCATCTGTGTGCAGAGGGAGGTGGTGGTAGTTTGGGGTTCTTCCCTTTTGGAAGTGTTCTGTCTAAATTGTCTTTAATGTCTTCTGTGCAATTTGGGTGATGAAAAGAATTCTCCCATCTTTGTTCTGTGCTTTTCAGACACATGCACATACACACACCATTCATGGATTTGGAGAGAAATTTTTTGTGTTAATCTCTGCCACTGGATTGACCTCATGGTGGAATGTACTGAGGACAAAATTCAGAATATATTTCTGGCCCTGGTTCTCCGTTTTCAAGTGCCAACCATGTGAGGTCTGTTACTTCACTTAACTCATACAATCAGTGAATTGTTTTCAAATTGGTTTTTTTAAATCTGAATCAGCTGCCAAGAAATTGTTCCTTGGGTTGCAAAAGCACCTTGGGCATTACCTGTGTGTCTTGAAATATATACAATATACATGCACACCCAGTCTCCTTTCTGCTCTTCTGATCATGCTTTGAGAAGATGTGAGTGGGGAAAGATTTCTCTCTTGTAGCACTTGTTTGTGTTTTGTTCTGTCTTGTAGAAACTTAGGGGCCTTAATCTGCTGTGGCATCTGGTTGTGAAAGTTCAGGATTTTCCTACTGTATCTAAATATATAAATGGCATCAACTGATTCCAGTCTCTTGCTAACCAGTCCCCCCTGTTCTGTCCTTGGTAACCAGGTCCAGTCACTGGGTTGATGCCCTCTGGGTGTGTGCCCTCTGGAAACAAGAAAGGAGAAAAAAACCTCTACAGACTATAGTGGGTTTTGTTTAAACTCTTCCCACCAGCCTCTTGAGCTCCAGGGTTTGCTCTGCTTTCCCTGCAGCTTCTCCCCCTGGGAGCTGGCCAGGCCTCCTGGGTCAGAGAAGGATACCAAGAAAGAGTTTTGTCATACAGTCAGTTCTTCTGAGGGAAGAAATCCCAGTGTTTGGGCAGGTTCTGGGTCACTTCTGTTTGAGAGGTTGACAGGGCCTTGGCAGGAGGATTTGAAAGGTGATTTAAAGCTGGTGCTAAAATTGAGACCCTGGATTTTGCAATGAGCAACTACATGTCAGGAGAGAGCTTGTAAGAGCCAGTCTCCCTGGCCCAAATGACATGACCCAGTTTGTCAGGCTTCCCACCTCTTTTGAAACAGTCAGTGCAAACATCAGATGATGTTCTATAATGTGGTACAGGTATTGTTCTCTGTAAACTGTATTTCTAGGAACTGAAACATCTCAAAGCAGCTGCTTTTCTGTGTGCTGTAGGAGGATTATCTGGTAACCACAGGAATCTGAGGCTAAACACATTTAGCTGCAACTTCCCTGTAATGAATTTGTCAATGTAAACAGCCCTGTCCCATAAGTCTCCTTCTGTAAACTGTTCCAGAAAATATCCTGACAGGTAGGGTTTGGGCTGGCCTGATCCATCAGCCAAGATGGAGTTTCCTGCCCTAAAGTGCAGACTCTACCTAATGTCTGATGCAGCTGTTGTTTCTTACCCACTGTTCCATCCAGGTATGTGCCTTGACAGTGAGACTTTTGTTCTTGAATGTTTAATACTCTGATGTTTACTGAAGTTGTTTTGTGGGTGTTTTTTTAGTCCAGACAAATGGGAGAATTTCCTGGTTGTGACTACAAAACACAAAGGCAACCTCTCTGTGTCAAAAACATACTTTTTTTTTTCCCATGCTTATCTTTTGAAAAACAAAAAGTATGAGTCATAAATGTAGAATGTCCCTCCTGTCAAGAGCTGATGGTTTGATGGTACCAGTATTTATTGGAATGCCCATAAACACCAGCCCTGCCCAGTGTGCTGCCCGTGGGGGAGGACCTGCTCTGCTGCTCTCTGGGAAAGCCAGAGCTTTGGCTCCTGTTCTCAAAGCAGCAATGAGTGACACTCCACAAGGGGGAAGGGACAGAACTGGCCTTTGAAAGAGGAGTTGTGGCAAACCTCTGAGTTCTTTGTACTGTGAAGGAAGATGATAACCTTAACCTGGGAAGTGTTGCCTGGGCTTGGTGCCCATAACCCGTGTTAGAGCAGCAGCAGAGGTTATCCAAAATGACCTGGGTAGGCCAAGTCCTCTGCTGCTGTAGAGCAATGCACACTACAGTGTCTTCCCCGAGGCAGGCAGCATATGGACTCAAGTTGGGAACAAGAGTCCATTCCTTTCCAGCTCTGAGCTCTTCTCTCATCACCTTGGGCATGTCCCATAATCCTGTGACATCCGTTTCTTTGCTGGCAAGTGGAAATGCCTTTAACTCAAAAGTACCATCATTTCTTGTGTTGTTCATGCTCCACAGTCTGTATCTGTTAGATTCTCTTTGTGACTCAATGAATGTGAGGCTGACATGAGCATCATTTAGTGTTTCATCTTTCAGAAGTGGGAAACTCTAGCTAACTTCTGGCACCATTTTCCTTAAGAGGTGTGAACATCTCCCCCTCCCCCTCTGTTTCCAAGCTGCTGTTTGGAAGAAGAAAGCACAGGGAGGTGGAGCATTGCCCAGGGAATTTGGCTGCAGGAAGTCAAGCCAAGGACTAGGTTTTAAATGCTTAATCATGCTCTTTAATTGCACAGCCCCTTCCTAGTTCTACACAAAACTGCCTTCAGCCTGTGAGGCACTGCCAGACACTTCCACTGTGCCCTTCACTGCAAGGTAACAGTGCTGTTCTTTCAGGGCACTTTTATTTGGAGGTCTGATGATGCTAGTGCTGTATCACTGATCTCATGGACGTTGAGGTTGATTTGAGCACCCAGAATGGCTCTTCTTTTTAATGCTCTCCAGGGGCCTATGGCATGTGAGCACAGAAAACACATGAGGAAATGGAGGGGACTGTCTCTGAGGATAAATACCTAGTTCAGTATTTGTAGAATAGAACCTTAATCCTGACAGTTGTAAATGTTGGGATTTTTTTCAAGCATAGAACCATCTCAGGCAACCTAATGCCTTACTTACAAATGCCTTTGGGGGTGCTGCAAACTAGGAATGGCCACAGCCTTGTATATAAGAAAGATGCAGAAATTTCTTCTAAGAATGTAAATATTCCTAACTGTAACTGAATTGATTCTTACCCTGTTTTTTTAATAGAAAAATGCTTGTTATTTGTAAACCTCGGAATAAAATAATGTCTGGAATTATCTTTTAAGTGTTCTCAGTTATTTTTCAGATCTGCATGTTTCAAGGTGTTTTGTTTAACAAGGGCCACTTCAGTCTCTGGCCTTAGGCTGCTGTTGAGCAGAATGATCCTGTTCAAAGGTCACCTCGTAGGTCCTGTGCTGGTGGATTGTTTTCCCAGTGTCAGCAACACAGAAACCTGGAATTCAGCATTTATTCAGAAATGGCAGGTTACTGGGAAATTGCAAGGAGTTTCTTTAAGGTGCTGCTTAAGTGGTTTGTAGGGCTGTGTGGGAGCCTTCACGTGGCCTGAGACAAGAAGCTGTGCAAACATCAGCACTGGCTTCAGTCTCTGGGGTTTTGTGGGGTTTTCCCAGATGTGCTGCATTGAGCTGTGTGCCTGTAGATAAGCAGAAGTACCACTGGCAAGGTCAGCTGAGGCTGATGTACTAAGAGGTTTAAGAAACAATTTTGGGACCGTTGCCTGGTCTTTCTTGCTCAATAATTAGCCTATGGCTCATCCTGCACATGGGACATGCAGGGATGGTTTTAGTCTGCTCATCTTGTGAAAAAATAGCTCCTCTGATTTGGACCAAACTATTTTTAAAACCTGGGCCACTTCTGTTCTTCTAATACATTTTCTTACTTCCTTTTAAGTAAACGCAGTAGAACAGTAAGGAAGTCTGAAAATGAGATAATG